TCTATTTTCCTATCTATCTATCTATCTATCTATCTATCTATCTATCTATCTCTGGTTAAATTCGGTCTGGGAAAATTATTTTTGGAAGCTGCAAAAAAAAAAAGTAAAAGAAAATTAAGAACTTAACATAGGAAACAAATCAACATAAAGTTTTATGATAATAAAAATAATAGATCGAAAATATCATTTTAAAGTTAAAAGAAAATTAATAGCATCTGAGTAGTTCACAGTTTTATGAAAAATACCAAATAATGAATAATTATACTTAACTTTTATGCATTTTTTTTTGGACAATGTCTTAAATTACGAGCCATGTGAAACGTGATTTCATACATAGATGTATATGTATAAAAATATATAGGCGAAGATAAAGAATAACAAATTTAGACGGGCAATAGTAAACACACACACACATACACACACACAGACACCCCACAAATACATACATATATGTGTGTGTGTGTATGTGTGTGCGTGCATGCATGATAAAGAACAAATAAGAAACGTTTATCAATCTAACATGTTTCAGTTTTCAGAATTTGATTGATAAACTTTCCTATTTATTCTTTTTCATCTTATCCGATTTCGATTCTTATTTGATCTACATTTGATCTTATATATATATATATATATATATATATATATATATATATATATATATATATATATGGCTCTCATTCCAGGATACCGTCTACTATTGGGGCTTCGTGCTAGCTGCTATCGACAGTCCACAAGAGTTCCGTCTGTTCAATTTCGCTCACAAAAAGCTCCAACAACCCCCTCATTATGATTTTTCAGGCACTTTCCAAAGATGACGCACGCTGGGATCGACCCCTATCCAGTCTGACTATGGTGAAATTGGAACCCGGGTCTCATATATATATATATATATATATATATATATATATATATATATATATATGGACCGCCTGACGATTTGTGTCTAGCATGAAACAGCCTGTCGCCTCTGAGTGATGACTTTAATTCTCACTTTTATATTTATGTTTACATACGGTCTATCTCTGATAGAGCACTTTATTCCGTAAATGCAGCACGTAAATATATATATATATATATATATATATATATATATATATATATATATATATATATATATATATATATATGCTGCCTAAAAATGTTTTTTTCTGACTTCCTAAAACTTATATGCATTTAATTTCATTTAATATTTACGGTTAATATAAAAAAAATGTATTAAAAAATTAAAATCTTCAGACACACTGGGTAGATATTGCATATTAGATGCAAGTTGAAATAAAGAGTTTTACTATTTTTAACATATCAATCGTAAGCCATTCAGTGTTTTCTGTTTATAAAAATTATTTATCTTTATTATATTTTTTTATCTATCTATATATCTATCTGTCACAGTCTGTTCATTAACTATCTATCTAATTTCAGATATTAATCTATATATCTAATCGTATGCATTTGGATTATATTAGCTATGGATGTATATAGCGTGAGATAAATGCATTAGTGATAATAAAAATAATATCAATAAAAATACTTTTCAATATAATATTCTCAATAGCTTTCGATGAAAACTTTTGTTTACGTCAGGTCTCAGGTAAATGATATTGTAAAAGTAAAAGAAACAAGTAATAATGATAACAATAACGATATATTCTTACATGTCTACGTTAAATCTGTATAATTCGCGTTTATACAGAAAAATCCGATTATAAATAGGAGAGAGAAATAGAGAGAGAGAGGGAGAATGCGGGAGAGGTAGATAGAAAGAAAGACAGAAAGAAAGAAAGAAAGAAAGAAAGAAAGAAAGAAAGAAAGAAAGATGTAGAGAGAGATCGAAAGCGCGCGCACACAAGTACACACGTTCGTGCATTCAAAAAAAAAGAAAAAAAAAAGAAAAAATGCGTCCATTTCGAGGATTAGGGAATTGCCTATTTGCTGCCAAAAGAACTGACTAGAGGTCAACTCCAGGTAAAATGCTAGACAGTTGAACACTGATTTTAAAGGCAGGCAAATTCTTCTACATTTGTAATATTGGCGCGTGACAATCTTCCAGACCTCATTTGTACCGTACTATGTCGGGTAAAGATAACAAATACGTACATATATATCATCTTTTCATATAGAGTTAAAAACAAGCATTTACATATGCCTACGGAATTTTCACTACATTCGACAATTCTCTGTCTTCTTTTAACCTCAGCAATCACACACACACACACACACACACACACACACACACACACACACACACACACACACACACACACAAACAAATATATATATATATATATATATATATATATATATATGTGTGTGACTATATTTGGTCGGCAACCTTTCTTTCATACGTCTTTCATTGAATGTGTAAGGCAAAGAAAATATAAGTTTGTTTTTTTTGTTGAGTTTTTCAGAAGTTTATAGGTTTTCGTTTTGGAAGGACTTAACAAAATGCAAAAAGAAATGTCCGTAATTGTTATTGAAATATGCCAGTCAATAGCTATTTTCAAGGAGTTCATTGTTTTTACATTTTTTATTTTATTTTTTACCTCGGCACAATACACCTTAAAACGAAAGAAAACATATTAAGAAATAACCGCTTAAAAATGGCTAAAATATTTTTCAAAACGGTAGGATAATAATAATTAAACTATAAGAATATTAGAAAAAATTAATAAGAAATGTATAAATTTTTCCTTGGCTGTCACATTTAATAACACACGCACACATATATATATATATATATATATATATATATATATATATATATATATATATATATATATATATATATATATATATATATATATATATATATATATATATATATGTGTGTGTTTAAGGTTCATGTAATAAAAAGTTCCACCACAGCCCTTTTAAAAGGGCTCTTGATCATCAGACTTTACTTCCAAATGTTTGAAATTTACATTGAGCTCTCCGGATATCATCCTCCTTGGTCTACTCAGACGGATTACCTAGTTTTGCATAAACTATATATATATATATATATATATATATATATATATAATTTATTCGAAAATTATAACATAAACATGTTATAAAATCACTACAAAAATAGCCATTTTGTTTCAACTGGATTCTTATCAAGTGATGGTGTAGAATAAAGAATTTTAAAAAGGTTCAGATCAATCAAACAGCCTCTCTCTCTCCCCTCTCTCTCCTCTCTCTCTCTCTCTCTATATATATATATATATATATATATATATATACACTTAATGGATTTATTTGTAATCCTAGATTTTTATTACTTCAAATGTTATTATTAGTGGATCCTCGTCATTGAAAAAGACGTCCCATTTTTATCTTTTGTTTTAAGCAGTGTGTATTGCGTCTATCGGTTCACGCATTCAATAAACCTTAATAAAGATTATATATATAGGCTCTCCTGCAGGGATCGAACTTCTGCCTTCCTTGGTAGGAGAAACCGTCATTTGATCCATCCTGCTTCACTGCTCGTCTACGAAGAAGCCTCATCGTCCTGCTAGCCACTATCCGCTCATTTACGGACATCACACTTTCCTCATTCATATATATATATATATATATATATATATATATATATATATATATATATATATATATATATATATATATATATATATATATATAGTGAGAGAGCGGGGTGTATCTTTACTTTTCTGTGATCGGAAAAGAGGCGAACGAAAATATATCGGTAAAATTCTGATGGTCATTTGGTCAGCATTTTGAAAACGAGTCTGACTATCCCTTCGTACACTTGAGGGAGAGATTTTTTTTTATATCTATATAAAGATATAAAATAACAGATGAACATGTGCAAAGGCGGAGATTTTGTTATATTAAATGAAATACTGAAAAATTTATATCACAAAAAAGAAGACCTCTGAATGTCTACACCTGAGTCTCAAGGTGCAATTTTATTTATATGCTGTTACTGCATATGCATGCACATTTGAAGTCTGTCTTCGTCGATTTGATGAAAGATAATCACACACGCAAAACGCACACACACAGAGAGAAAGAGAAGAAAGTGAAAGACAAAGCGAGAAAGAGAGAGAGAGAGAGAGAGAGAGAGAGGGCGGGAAGGAGAGAAACACCCACACCTATTGTTTTTATTAGCGTACACTAATTCTTGTACGATTTCATATTTGTCAAACATGAAAACAAACGAAATGTGTATATTATGCACGCAATAAACAAAAGTTCCATAGCAAAAAAAAAAAAACGTTTTTTTTTACTACCTTTTTTTTGTAAGGAGCATCACTAAACCGACATGGGTGTACCAAACAGAAATGTTATCGATTGTTTATTTTAACCACAGCACCATGCCGGCATGTTGTCAGTGCGCGGACTATTATTGTTTGTGTAATCATTTAAGGTCTTTAGTTATGATAGGGTAATGATTGTGTCACTGTGAAAAGGAGGACAAACGTTTGGGTGATGGTGCAAGTGGGCCGGAGTAGGTGTGGCTTTTTTCTTCTGGGGGAAGAATAGGGAAAAGCAGAGTATGAAATTAAGAAATCAGACGTAAATGGAAAAAAAAAAAATAAATAAATAAATAAAAATAAATGGAGAAATTCAAATGAGAGTGGAAGAGAAAGAAAAAACGAAAGAAAGTGATATACAAATGAGTTGAAGTAGCTGTTGCAAAGAAAGAAAGAAAGAAAGAAAGAAAGAAAGAAAGAAAGAAAGAAAGAAAGAAAGAAAGAAAAAGAAAGTTTCTACATGATTAATTTTTAGGCGGTGGGGAGACACAGTGTTGTTACATTGGTTATAGTATTAGATAGCGAGATAGATAGATAGATAGATAGATAGATAGATAGATAGATAGATAGATAGATAGATAGATAGATCAGATTAGACTGAGATAGAAAAATATAAACAGACTGAGATAGATAACTAGATAGATAGATGGACAGATAAATAGATAGATAGATGCGAACAGACTGAGATAGATAGATAGATAGATAGATAGATAGATAGATAGATAGATAGATGCGAACAGACTGAGATAGATAGATAGATAGATAGATAGATAGATAGATAGATAGATAGATAGATAGAT